CAACTTTGCCTTTGCTCGGCTCAGCACTATTTCTCAGAAGAAAGTCAATAACAGTATTTAATAGCAAAGACGAAACACATGGATAAACGAAAGCACATTTTCCCTTAAGAAATCCACAGTTAAGTGGGAACTATTCAGAAAGTTCTCTATCTACCTTTACAGCAGGTATGGTTCCTGCACACATCTCTTTCCAAAAGAAGACTACGTACTGTCATACTTTTTTCTGCTTGTTTGCTTGAAACGTGGTATTTTATTTAACGTATGTATGCAAAATGAATGCTAAACCAACAATCAGTTGTAATTCACTATTTCCTATGTAGGAAACAGGAAACATCACCTACTAGTGATTTTGATATAGATTTTATTGAATTAGTTATAGAACTTGAAAATCGTTTGTTAACGGTATGTTTTACTCCCGAACATGTGTTTGTAAATAAGCAGTTATATGTAGTCGTTGAGCCGAATTGCAGTTCACCTAGCGAAGAAAAAATGGTATTGAATTTTTTGTTTGGATTTTCTTCATCTCTCTCGATGATCATTGTTTAAAACCGTTTGTCTCTCTTAGGGGAACGAGGCATCGCTCCCGATGGAGATGTGTTCGAACTGTAGGTTTATCTCGACATTGTGTGCTTGTGTGCTTTGCTGACCACTCTTTGTATTGCAGTCGACGCCGAAGAGATCCGGCGGCTGGCCAGACGTTTCAAGAAGCTGGACCTGGACGGCAGCGGGTCTCTGAGTGTCGAAGAGTTCATGTCTCTGCCCGAGCTGCAACAGAACCCTCTTGTCCAGCGGGTGATCGACATTTTCGACACAGATGGCAACGGCGAGGTTGACTTCAAAGGTGATCCACGATTGCTATCTACGGTTCCGTTTGGTTTGGTTTCTTTCCTTTTGTTGCTAATCTTAACTTTTTTATGCCGTGTATTGCGTAAGGCTCGAGAAGCCTAAACAACAAGGTTGCCGCCCAGATTTGTGATCTCTGAAAGTTTGCCCAAAATTTAAACTTTGGTCCAGATTTCTATAACAACTTTGAAACAGTGTGGTTTGTAACAGCACGCAAAGTACGGTTCATATGTTAGGCGACTGATATCGGGAACTATCTCCTTGACCATTGCAATAGTCGTGAATCCCTTCTTGATTTCTGAGGCTGACGATTAACGAAGCAATTGCTGGCTGAGGTCGATGATCTTCTCATGTGTATTAGGCAGATTTCTCTGCGGAGGAATAATCTGACTGTATACCGTAATAGATAGAGTTGAAGAAAAATAGTGAAAACAAACAATAAAGAGATAGATAAGAAAGCAAACGAAAAAGGGGAATGAGAATATTTGGTAAACAAAGAGAATGAGAAGCAGAAGAGAAGTAATATAAATAAGAACCAGTGAGAAAGAAGAGTGGAAGTATAAGAAAAAGAGGAACTAAAAGTGTTGGATAATCAGGTAGAAACATGTATATAACAATGACGAAGAAGCGAAAAAAGGAGCGCAATATGAAGTAAGAATGAGCATTCATGAAGAATAGGAAAGAATTAGAATAGGTTTTCACTGAATTCGAATGATAGGAATGAATGGCAAAAGCGGGAATCATAAAGATTTGCCAGTGAAGATTTGCAGGAGAATGTTTTTGGCGTTTAATTAGCAGTTACAAGTTTTAATTGTATGCAACAAACTTATAGACATGTATCAAGCGGATAAACTTAAATCTCTGACTGTAGAACCAATTGATATGTTGTACTGGTAGTGCAAAACATGGTAGCATTTAGTTATTTTTAGCTAACGATTTTGCAGTTTTCTGTGTAGAGCAGAATTTAATGTCCCCCTTTTATTCGTTGTTTCAGCTGCGATGTGAGCGTCTGTTATGATATTTAAGTTGATCTCTGAGTTAAAATAAAGGATTTGAACCGTTTCTGCTTTTCTAAAAAATTTACCTGCCGTCTTGCGAGTCATAAACTAGAGCCTGAATGAGTTTCGAGCAGAACCTGATGGTCGGTGGTCATCTGCTCTTGTTCGTTTTATGGGGTCAACGTCGTTGCGCAACTCTTAGTTGCTTGCCTCCACTCGACCGATACCGGACATCGTCATCGGTGTCGCATCGAAAGAGGCATCGATTGTCATCAGCGACAGGTTATCGAAAAGGGGAAAAATGCTTGTCTGCGAGGTTGGAGGACGAACGCTTCGCTCAGCTCATCATCGATTGATTTTCGCGATAGGCTTAGGTGATTCGTTTTCGCCATTCTTGCTTCAGAGCGAATAACAGTGCTTTTCCTCGGGAAAAATAGGATTGTTCTTGCCTAGAATTATTCGCGAGGGACGTATGTATCATTGCTCCATGATATTTGAGCACTTTCAGTACCATATGCATCTCCCCTCATTTCTCGGCTAGGCCATTTTATGCTCTCCAAGAACGATGTTTCGGAAGCGGTTCTGCTCATAGAAACATGATCATGAGAAAATTTATGAAATAGGAAAAAAAGTACCGCGATCATAGTCATAACAGTGATGATCGCGATTGTCATAGTTGTGCTATGGGGTAATTTTATCGTGTAGTTTACCTTTGATTAAGATTTTTGACTTCTGACTTCCAGCTTTCTTGGTGCCTCGAGTCATCGAATTAGTGGAATCTTTCCACGTTCATTCATTGACGAAGTCCTTAGCAGCGAGTTTTTTTGCCGTTAAAAACAGACAGAAACAGTAGTTGAAGCTTGTGCATTTTCGTGCAGTTTCTGGTTTTTTATTTCATATGCTGTGCAGCAAGTACATAATTGACGTTTCGTCTGTTCGAATTATATACGTTTTATGAAGATATTCTTTTTTGCTGTTGGTTAACAAATATTCAGCCTGTATTTATTTCTACTAATAATGTTCGCTTTATTTTATTTTAGAGTTTATTCAAGGTATTTCACAGTTTAGCGTGAAAGGAGACAAGGAGGTGAAGCTGAAATGTAAGCTGTCGATTTGCAACTGTTCCCCTCGGAAATTGTTAGTTTACCCTATATTGTAGTTGCATTCAAAATTTACGACATGGATCGCGACGGCTACATATCTAACGGCGAACTATTCAGAGTAAGTTTCGCTTTACAGTCGATCACAGTGTTTTAATGAATGACGAATGTTCAGGTGCTGAAGATGATGGTCGGAAATAACTTGAAGGACGCGCAGTTACAGCAGATCGTTGACAAAACGATTCTGTTTCATGACAAGGACGGTGATGGCAGGATATCTTTCGAGGAATTCTGCGATGTAAGTGTTTGTCATTTTTTTTGTATCGTTCTTCATCTAAATATTTTATTTAAAATGATAACAGATATGGTTTAACTGTTCAGTATTTCAGCTTTTTACGTTTTCCTTTTCTTTTTTTTCTATAAACATTCTGCTAATACCAAACGATGAATACATGACGACAGAGCATTTATAGTAGTTATGCCGTACTTATTGAATTCGATGTACTGTGGTGTAAGGAAGTCGA